GCAGACAGAGTTGAATAAGTCTGCAAGAAGCAGAAGTGACTCGACGTGAGCGTCAATTCCGTACTGCAATCCCTTGTCGTACACAGTCTGCAAGGCGAGGACTGCTGGAGGAAAATGCGTAACTTCGAGTAACGCATCCAGAACAGTATCCAAATCGATATTGCCTCTCTCGATCTCTTCCAATAAGATAGAAAGGCTTGTCACAAATGTAGAGAACCCGCGAAGAGTTGTGTTGAAACCCCAAGCGACCTGCGGTGTCACACTCTCAGACACCTGACTCAATGACTTGAGCTCCTGATCGCCAAAGAATTGAACGAAGATATCCAAAGGACGACGGATAGTGCCACTGAGTCCAAGGCCTGCCAAGGTAGCAGTGTTTTCCCTCGTAGCCAACTGACATTCCTTTAACCAAAGGTTGACTTTATTAGCCTGCCTCGCTGATAAGGTCGATTGGCCATGGCAGAGACGTTGTACGGCAATATTCCCAAAGTCTGAGAGACTCGTGTTGGCATCGAATGGTTCGGTGTCAATGGGTAATTTGTCGAGACGCGAGACATTGATGGCCTCATGTGTAGTTATCCAGCGAACGTAGATACTTTGTCTGCCGGATGATGGATCGCCTGCCCTCTGGTCAAGAGCTGCGGTCAAGATCGGAAGTGACACCGATGATGCAGAACCAGCGACTTGGGTCGCTCCTGTTATCTAGCTCTATATGTCAGCAGAGGTTTTACAGGGATTCAGAAGCAGTGAGACTTGCTGTTTGGTTTAGCACCTCCAGACTGAAAGTGCTGTCCTGCGTAAGGTCAATGAAGTCTTGAACCAAGTCGTCCCCATCTATCACCGCGGCATGAGGACCCACTGTCCGAAGGACAGTATCTGCCAAAGTTGCTGTAATTCCCAGCCGTGCTGCCCTTCGGAGAGCTGCGAATTGTAGGTCTTGCACGGTAGCACGTTGTGGTACAGGCACGAGAAGCCGCTCTCCGTTGCCAAGAGTGATGTAGACTCTGAGTCTAGGCCCATCCCGTAATGTAGAGCTTCCTCCAATGGTTGAGTGTGAATGCTGCGATGCTAAATCACTCTGATCGATAAGATATGTGCTTTCCATTAGGTCAGTCGAAATTGACATGTGGTCAACATCACCATTCTGAGAGGCCATTCTGCACTAAGGTTTTGACGACAAGCCGATTACTTCGGATCGACAACCCGACTCAGCCCTCTCGAATTATGAAAGGCTTTTATATGAGTGAGAAATATCAATCGAGATGAAGAGAAATAAGCGAGGCAGCACAGGAAAGAATGTCGAACATGGGAATGGACTTCCTCCGAGCAAAGCAGCAGGCAGTGGTTAGGCAACGAGCATTTCAAACACGCTAAAGGGAGCCTGCTTTCAATATTGCCAACGCATCCTGGAGCAATATGAGGCTCTTTGAAATTGTGCCTTATGAAATTTAGTTCGAGGCTTTCTAGCCCAAACGCCTCATGTAAGTGGCCTAACCCACCCCACAAGGCTCAACAGGCAGTCTTAAACTCAAATGCACTACCACTTGTAAGCTCGGGTAAACATAGACTCGTAGCACAATTAATCCCACATGCCAATTAGGCCCGATATGTTAACACAGGTAGCTAAAATACTATTACTCGTTGCTGTATTGGATGAATTGCTCGAACTTTCTGGGTTATTAATGATCCCCTATCATTGCCTTATGTTTTCGCGTGTCTCAGTGTTAGCGATGTCGCCCAGATAATCATTTCTTAATCAAAAGACACGAGTCAGTTTGCGCATAACATGGGACATTAGACTTCAATCAAGTCAAACTGATTCATTGTCTCTATTACAGTTACTTTTTCTTCCTATATCACCACGTATACGTTCCCGGGTCGATCCAGGCAATGTTTGGCTGCCCGCCAGTAGGAGTCACTTCATCGATAAGAGTTAGTAATTGTCTCACGGGATCAGTGCAAGAGCAAGAAAATCCGAATATGTATTTTCTCGGAGCAACTTTCTGAGTTTGGACTACATCCCTGTCTCCGATACTGAAATTTTTGCTGTAACAGGAGGAAAGGATACTCAGAGGTAACTTACTGAAGACGTCTTTCGGAGTGCGATACGCGCGTGCTTGGCTAGCAGTGAGCTCCTGGGTAATGTTGCCCGCCAGTCTTGAAGCTAGATCGAACCCAGGACCGCTGCTCTTATACTCGGCCATGATTGTGTAATTGTTGTAGTTCGACCCAGAGGTATAGGGTAATCCCGACCAGGTAGTGTATCCCTGAGGCTTTATGCTTGCGTCCATCTCCGTGTTCAGGTACACGCTGCGATGCTGCGCATTCCATGGGCGACCCAGAGAACATCTTCCCGCGATACTAGCTGCAATAGAGCTGTTTGCCGCCGCGACTGTTGAGTCGGAGATGTAGGCTCCATACTTATTTGGAAACGTTGTATTTGTCCCCTTCCAAGCAATGATACCTCCGCCACAGCCTCTTAAGAGGACATTTGAATGCTGAATCCAGGCAGTTCCGAAACCTACATATCTCGCGGTCAGCATTGTGGACCAGGGCGAAAAGTGTTTCTGCCATTATTCTCACCATAGAAGAAGTCGGTCTGGCCCGCAATCTCATTATAGTAGAAATAGGCATTCCCAAGTTTTCCGACATATACCTGTACAAATTTTCAGAACAGTATTGGGTTTGCATTGTCTTCTGAATAAATAAGCTCACCGTATCTTGATAACTGTATATTCCACACCAATAAAAACCCGCATTAGCATAACTTATGCTGACGGCGAGAGATTGGGCGATCCCGTATTCGGCATAGACATTTCTGAAGTTTATATTGTACGCACTGAATTGGATGCTTCCGAAGGGAGTGTCGGAAGGGACTGCGTGTCCCGTGTTGCCCGAGCCGGTCAGACTTGCTTCTAATGTCGGAGCCACCGTCAAGACTGCCGTGTAAGCATTGTCGGTGTATGCACCATTGACGTTGGCTGCCGCCCAGAATACTTCGACCTCATTGTCCGCTTGAACAGTGGGATGTGCAGTCTGCCCGAGGAGGGTGACGGGACCGGGTCGGGTGATATTCAGCTGCTCGATGTAGCTTCCTGGAAGGACCAGGAGGATTTGGGACGAGTTGTCATGTGGCAGTGACAGAATGGCCGACTGGATCGTATTGAACTGTGCCCCGCCGCATCCGCAAGCCGATACTACGATAGTGCCGTCCGGACAGCCATCGAGAGGGTTATCGGTCCGCGACCTGCAAGCAACATACTGGGACGGCGCTCCGAGAACAGCTGAGGCCAAAGCGAATAGCCCAAGGCCGGTGTTTGCTACGCGTTTTGCCCACCGAGGGTTCATCGCTCTACACACAAGAACCCAGTTGACTCAGGGAAGGGCATAGGGGAAGGGCATAGGCCGGGTTCTCGTTCTGTGAAATGTATATGTGCATGTATCCCAGCCGGGCTTTGTTCCTGAGGGCAATACACGGGTTATTAACATAAGATCGTTGCAAGGCATGTTGTAAATGATTTCTGGCAGACAATCAGAGTAATTACAAAAGCTCAGCGGCGGTATAAGATGCCATTGTTGATTTGTGGGAAATAATCCTCCAGAAACATGGCAAATTAGCGAGCTAGCTAGCTGTTTATGAGTGACAGCCGGGCAAAACATGACCGGGTTAGTTATGCATTGGTTTTCATCTCCTGAAGGCAATGGATGCAGCATTTGAAGTTGGCTTTGTGAAAGGTTCTTCATCCCCGCTTGGAGATGACCTACCTACTCCGCACCCCGCAGTAGTTACAGAGTAGCTGTGTGGGGGGGCCTGGCCCCTGTTCAATGTCAAATGATTTAGGCTAAATAGATGAACCCTGGCATGAAGATACGATTTCGCACAAGCCTTCAAGATCCATGTTGCCAAGCCATGCCTCATCTGACGAAGATGAAGCTGAGTCCTTGAGTATTACCTGGATTGAGTCTGATCTTCAATGCATCATAGGTGGATTAACCTCTCCAGCGAAATCCGTTGTTGCCAATAGTCTCGACGCTATTCCCAGGTCAACTTATCAGCAGTTGTCGTCTGGCACTCTGATCACCCGAGCCGCGATTGAGCAGCGCCGCTACGACTACGGTCGGCGAGACGCTTCAAAATATGAAAGATTGTACATACACAATATAGGACCTAGAACATAGAGACAGAGTCGCTTGCTGTCAATCGTCGTGTAATCCCGAATCAGCCCTACTCTCTATCCCCTAATAGCTGCCCACAACAGTCATATGTGTACGCCGTGATCATGAAATACGCTTCCACTGCCGGGATCTTTCTCTCAGTTTGCTTCTGTCTCTTTGCACAGCTATCTACGGGCGAGCCAATCTGCGAGTCGTCACTTCCGCCACGTCCGTCACCCGTCATTGCACCCTATACGCTTCCCAATCCTCACTACAATTCGCCCGCACGTTCATCTCAGGTCTGTTACGTGAGAGCGCGTGGGAACGGTCAAGATGACAGCCAGACCCTCTTCGCAGCTCTGAAAGCGTGCAACAAAGGGGGCACGGTCTACCTGCCAGATCCGCAGTACACAATTGCGAAGGTCCTCGACCTAACTTTCCTCTCAGGAGTAGATGTGATAATTGCTGGAACCATTAGTTTTACTACAGACATTGCCTATTGGACTGGGCACTCGTACAAATACGCTTTCCAGGGCTCTTCGCTCTTCTGGCAATGGGGTGGGTTCGATGTCAATATATACGGCGGCGGAACAATCGACGGTGAGTCTCTATAAAATTTTCCTTTCCATGGGGGAAGACAACGTAGCACGTTTTCAGAGTTCTGATGCTTCAAAGGAAATGGACAAACATGGTGGGATGCTATGGTGACAAACTCCACGCTCCAGCGACCAATCCTATGGGGTTCTATCAACTTGACAAGTTCAACAATTAGTGACCTACACCTTGCTAACCCTCCCAATTGGTTCAATTTCATGTCAGGGAACCGGGATGTTTTAGTCAGCGATATGAACTTGACTGTGACGTCTAATGGAACTGCGGCCAAGAATACTGGTGAGTGGACCATGTGAGCAAAGGCCGGCTACAGGAGCTGACTTCCGACCTCAGATGGCTGGGATACCTATCTCTCAGATTCTGTTGTGATACAAAACAGCGTGATTCAAAATACCGATGACTGCGTATCCTTCAAGCCAAACAGCACTAACATCATCGTCCAAGGCTTACAGGTGCGTGCTCTGAAAAAATCAAGTAGTTTATATACCAATTCCCTCGTTGACATGACCTCTAGTGCAGTGGCAGCCATGGCATTAGTGTTGGCTCTCTAGGGCAATACGTTGGCGAGGTCGACATCGCCGAGAACATTATGGTTCACAATGTCACCATGTCAAATTGTGGCAGCGCGGCCAGAATCAAAGTATACCAGGACGCCATTCCCAACGCCGACGGGAGTCTCCCTACCAGCAGTGGCGGAGGTTCCGGCTATGTCAGGAACGTCACCTATGAGAGTATGCAGGAGAACACCTGTGACTGTATGCGCTCAGTTCGACCCCTTTCCCCTAAGGAGCTATGGTTAATAATGCTGCAGACGCCATCGAGATAACCCAGTGCTACGGGACAAAGAACCTTACCCTGTGCAACCAGTATCCGGTAAGCGTCGAGTAAGCTATATTAGGCGAGTCTTCTACGTATACTGATTATTCTGCGGGTGAACAGTCTAAGATGATCATTGAGGACATTCTGTTTGACCACATGAGAGGAGTTTCCTCGACGAAATATGATCCCATTGTCGGCACACTCGTGTGCTCCTCAGAAGCGGTAATGACTCGTAGCATCATTGCGATATGAAATGCGCGATTAGATCCCCTAAGCTAACATTTGATGCCTAGGTGTGCCCCCGAATTGTAGCCACAGACATAAGCATTACAACGCCGTCTGGAAAAGTGGCTCAGTGGACATGCACAAATGTCAATAGGTCGCTTCTTGACATAAATTGTATTTGAAGAGAGAAGCGAATAAGGAGAACATAGATTGGCGGGTTGCCGCTTCATAATGCTGATGATTGGCTTTATGATGGAATCGCATTGTACATACAGGTCAAATGAATAATCGGCGTAGAGGACATATTTTGAGGTGAACAGTTGCCCATTAGTCTGAATTATGCATGATCTAAACTACCTACGCCACAACTCCCAAGAGATTCGCCAACTTCAAGCCCTTTCTATCAGCTAGTCGTCATTCGAATGACACTGGCTTGGGTATCCTAATCATGCACTAGGCATCTTGAATGTGGTACCCGTCCGAATCTTTTGCAAGAATTCTAAGACAGCCGGACTAACAATCTCGGGGCGCTCATACTGGGGCGCATGTCCGGCGCCTTGCACTGTGACCGTGTCCACGTCTGTGAAGTTGGAAGCAACCCACTTCGCTTCGGCCAGCGGATCAGTCCAATCTGGATCAGCATCGCCGATGACCACGAGCACCGCGGCCTTGACCTTGCTGATATAAGGCGCAACGATGCTATGGTCGACAGTAGTTGAGGCGTGGAACGCTGACCAGTACCCGGGTCGTTGTAGTAAGGCTGTGGTGCTCGCTGCACGCTCCTTTGCCTTGTCGCCGAGGCCGGGCCACAGGGTTGCAGCATATGAACGCCAAAGGTAGGGCCCCAGGGGCCGATAAAAGGCGAAGTGCAGCAGCCAGCGGACGATGGCACTGGCGCCATTGCGAAGGAAAGGTCCGATAAGAATGATGCCGGCGATTTGGTCGGGGCGCCGGCCTGCTGCGATGGTGCATGCCGCGGCGGACATGGATGCGCCTGCCAGGACAACGGGACCACCACCAAGTGTCTCGACGACTTTCAATATGTCGTCGGCAGAAGCTTCGTCGCCGTAGCGGCTGAATGTCGGCGTGCTATCGTTGTGGCCCCGGAGATCCATGCGGGCGACCCGGTAGCCTGCGGCTACAAGTTGCTGGGCTAGAGGAGCGTATGCCTCACGAGTGTCGCCCAAACCTGGTGAGCAGACAACAAGCGGGCCTTCTCCTTCAACTTCTACCGCAACTTTGCCTCCGTCATTTTCGATAAAGGTGATAGTCATCGCGAGGGTTCTGAGAAGCGCTGTGGATCCTCCCGTTCTTGAGAGACTGGTGTTGAGTGGGCTGGTTGTGTACTTCTCTGTACTCCGTAAACTGTCCACAAATTGGTTCTTGAAGAAACCACTCGAGAGAAAATTTGTATTAAATTTTAATGTTGATTCGCTTGATTGATTGCTACGATGGATGAATGACCTTGAATGGCCATTCGAGCTGCAAGCTTTGCATCTCTTATATTCAACGGCCTCCAAAGTCATGTACCATTTTCGGCCGACAAGGCGCGAAAAAAGCGCGAGCTTCGCTTCACTGGCCAGGTGCTCCGCGAGCCAAAGCCGGAGCAGGGATTGCCCCGATCGGGCGCCACCCGGGCGCCACCAACCAAGCCTACGTTGTACATGTACAACACCGCTACGCCATAATCGGTCTAACATTATCTTAGGGGGCCGAAAAGATTCCGGGGCAGACAGCAGTACAGTGGTAAAAGTCACTAGTAGGCAACGACAGTATGTGCAGTACTCATTGCGCATGATGTTACGTGTTGCGTATTGCGCAACTTATATTTACCCCTGGATGCCTTGTAATTGCACCGAAAAAGCAGATCTATAGAACATTGCGTGTCTCATTCATCACAGGTGGTCAAACCCAGGAGCAAGAGAAAGGCAATGGCCGGATTCACTATACAAGCTTGTCTAAGTCATAGGGAAGCAACTTCGGACGTCTAATGATGATTCTAACGTGTCTATCGCGTTTCGTTTCTTACATAGGCGTAGCCATCCCAGGGACCTCAGTGAGCCCTATGCATCGTGTTAGTTTGTAAAATAATAAGCTTTTGGGAATTGGACCGGACTTACAACTGTCAATGTCCTCGTCAACTATAGCTTTCTGGCTGCACTGATTGCCAGTTTCAATAGATTGTGTCTTGAGTGTCGGACAGTTGACATAGCATTCGCTATCCATTGCTCGCTGCAGAGCATCGCCCTTCCAGCCGAAGACGTAATCGCCGTGCGTGCCGTAGCCAGTCCTACAAATCGTTGGAGCAAATTTCAATAAAACAGGAACACACCATATGAAGCAGACTTACTGGTCTCCAAAGCTCCAGACGAAAGGCTGGGATCCATCCTCGGGCCACTCATTCTTGTCATTGAACTGCCTCGTATCCCAAATCGTCTCATACATCACTTGTGGAGTTCGTACTGGATGAGATGCCGGGCATGGGCCAAGAGACTCAAAGGTACCGCTCTCGGGATAGGACATATGGCTTCTATGGTCAGGGCTATCAAGATTCTTGCCATCCCAGCAGCTATAATTCATTACCATCAAGCCCAGAACACATGATGCATCTAGAGACTTACGTAGGGAAGCGAACATTCGCCATAATTCCAGCAGGACAAGGTGAAGTGGGGAAATTCTTGGTCTCGGGATATCGAGTACCTATGTCTTGAAGGCAGGTGTAGGTAAGTTGGCGGTAGGTTTTTGACTCGTCCTTGGTGCGGAATAGCGGATCACCGACAAGCATGCGGAATCCCTGATTGCCTTCGTTAGTCCAGCTGCGGCAAGAAGCAGCACAAAGCACGGAGATTTTCTTACTTGTTTGAAAGCAGTGACCTTGTCTTTTTGCTCATAATCTGCAAGGCCGTCTTGCATATAGTACACTGTCATGCCACCTACCGCGCCCTCGAATCCAGCGTTGGGCCTTTGTGGCACGCGCTTATAGGTACCGTTGCGAGCCTTGAAGAACAACACTGCTGTCCAGTAGTTTGAGAAATCCTCAGAGAAGGTGCACGTTGTGCAAGTCGATTCAGCTGGCATATCTTTGTCGGGCTTCATCGTTTCGTTGAAAGAGTTCTAAGTCTATTAGTATCCTTCCAAGTCCAAGGCTTTTTGTTGACATACACCACCGATGATCTGATGCACATGAGTTGAGGGAACCTGTTCCGGATTGACTAATGGATCAAGCCGCTCCACCACCAACTGCGAGCAGTAGAATCGAAGGAGAGCATGAGCTGGCGCGCCCGCGAAAGCGATGGCAACCAAAGAAGTCCAATGCATTTTGAATTCGAATTCTGGATTTGAATCTTGCGCAAACCTGGTTGGAAGGCTTCGTTTCACAACGTTTAAGCTAGAGGGACGTAGATGCGGTAACAAGGGTTATATGCCCTTTTATGATCTGCTTTCGGGTCAACTACCGGAACACTGGTATCAAAGAATAGGAATAGGTCCAATACAGATCGACGCTGCCGGAGACCATTTTGAGCGCCGGCGCCAATCGAATAATTTGAACCGGTTGTAAGAGGCAAGCGGTTGAATTGTGGTTTTGCCGTCGTTCAAAACTGCCGACTGCTGCCAACCCTAACAGCCAATATATTCTGCACTTTCACATCTACTTTAATTTGGGCGGACCTCTCGGCGCCAGTGCTACACCAATGGATCTAATTAGAGATATCTTAGATTTATGTGCTGTTCTTGGGTCCAAGCATTCGGACCAAGCGGCAAACAGTTCAACTTCTAACTGTTCAGGAGAACGATATGCTTGGAATATAAGCATCTAAGGGTTTATCACTGTAGCTCGTTGTTTTGTCTAATATTCTTTTGCGGAACAAAGACTAAATCGATGCTTTCCTGGCACAGCCAAGGCAATCCATATGAGTATGAGATTCATTGTTCGAACAATGTTCAATTACCAAGGCAGCTTCATTTTAGGGCATTAATCAGAATCGGGTTAAACGACTAAAACACCGAGATTCCGCCTAAGTTAGTAAAACAATCGAACAGTCAGTGCGCAATGGCGTCCATTCTTCCCAGCAAGATATGCGTGTTGTAACAGGCAACGAAGGGAACCAGAACAAGTGAGCTCAAGAACATATCTGGGCAAGGGGTTAAGTTGATGCGCTAGTCTTTTGGCACTGTAACACCGTTAATACAACAACTGCATCATTTTCACATAGTCCTAAGTCGCTGGTCTGTTCCGTCAAATGTATTCATACCCGAGCTCTCCAGCTCTCAAATCCATAGTATATGAGTAATGAATAACCCAATTCCAATCAATTAAACTACTCCTCTGGCAACCTACCATACGCAGTGTTTACATTGCCTTTTTTGGTCCTAGGAATGTTGCATAATTTGGCACAGGTTGCGAGTTGCCCAACCGCGTACAGTATGTTGAGATTGCTTCTGATTATCAATGATTTTTTGTTGTAAGATGACTAGTGACTCTCGTGCACATAAACAGGTTGATGAGATGTGAGTTCAATAAGTTCGAATTCGAGATGAGAGTGCTCAGTCCGAGTATTTGCTCATGCAAAATCACTGCGCAACATGTTAAGGAATTGAAGTACAGTTTCTGCACAGAGAAGGTAAAGCAAGGTTCGATTACAAGTTACTAAAGCATCTTCTTCCAATTGTTCATCACAATGCGTTATTGCATCAACACTGACGCGTGGAGTGCAGCGCAGGCAGCCGCGACAGGCATTACGTCGTTGGGCAGATCATGCTGGGTGAATCGCGGCCTGGATAGGAAGGTCGAATAGAATCCTCCAATCCGGTCGAGAGATATCGGCCGAGTCCCGAACTCCGAAATCAAGTATGAGCTTTTGACTACACATGCGAAACGCATTGACAGGACGCATTCGCATCCTATCACACTCAAAACGGCTAGGAAGTAGTACCGTTCACATCAAGCGAGCGTAAGCAGCGGCATAAGAGTCACCGGCGTGTAGTTAACTAGGTAGTCTTGTGGCCATCCATAAACATCACAACCTCTGCATATGAATACAGCGCATGCCTTTCCAAGTTCTGTTGACCAAGCAAGATAGCAATCATGCGCGCCACCACAACCACCCTGGTGATAGGTAGTATTCTACGTCTTATTAATGCACAATTCCCTCCAGAGCCAAAGGGCATTACGCTTCTGAAGTCCAAGTTTCACGAAAATGTGACAATATCATACAAGGAGGTATGCATGTGCTCCATTATGTGACCCGTTTCCGATCAATTGATATGATTGATTAACTTGTCGATAGCCAGGCATTTGTGAGACGACCCCAGGAGTGAAATCTTACGCCGGCTATGTCCATCTTCCGCCAGGCACATTGGACGATGGCGTCGGCGGAGAGACGCAGAACTATCCCATGAATACGTACGTTGTGTTGCGTAACTCAATTCTCCAAGCGCCGCTAACTTGGCAAAGCTTCTTCTGGTTCTTCGAAGCCCGCAAGGCTCCCGAGAACGCGCCCCTCGCCATCTGGCTCAACGGCGGCCCAGGTGGTTCGTCAATGATGGGCTTGCTAGAAGAGCTAGGACCATGCTTTATCGGGCCCGACTCAAAGACCAGCATCCTGAACCCATGGAGCTGGAACAACGAGGTGAATATGCTGTTTCTGGATCAGCCCACCCAGGTCGGCTTCTCATATGATGTCCCGACCAACGGCACGCAGAAGCCGGACAACGAATGGGGCTTTTTCAACACGTATCCCACGAATTTCAGTGAAGGCGTCCCAGAGACAAACTACACCTATCGCGTCGGGACCTTCTCCAGCCAGGACAGGGCCCAGACTGCCAACTCGACCGCTCATGCGGCCCATGCTCTGTGGCATTTTGCCCAGACGTGGTTCTTCGAGTTCCCGCATTACAAGCCGCTGGATGACCGTATCAGCCTCTGGGCCGAGAGCTACGGCGGGCATTATGGCCCGGGATTTTTCAGTTTCTTTCAAAAGCAGAACGAGAAGATTGCCAACGGGACGGGCGAGGATGGGGCCAGATATCTCCACCTTGATACTCTGGGAATTATCAACGGCTACCTGGACATGGTCATCCAGGGCGAGACATATATCGAGTACCCCTATAACAACACATATGGGATCCAAGTGTTCAACCAATCGCTATATGACGAGCTCATGTCCAACTGGACCAAGCCCGGCGGGTGCAAAGAACGCGTTACCAAATGTCAAGATGCACTAAAAGGACGCGATCCGGTGTTTGTGCGTCGATCAGAGAAGAACTTGACGGAGATCTGCGGCGACATCGCAGACGAGTGCACAGATTCTGTCATCAATATATATCAAGGTATCACCGGAGCTCGCGGGTGGTTCGACATTTCTCACCCGAAGCACGACCCCTTCCCTGCACCACACATGCTCGGTTATCTAACACAGGAGTCCGCTCTCGCTGCTCTTGGAGTCCCAGTGAACTTCTCCGAGTCGTCGATGGCTGTTGGAGAGGATTTTCATGCCACGTACGACATGATTCACGGTGGCTTTTTGGAGTCCGTGGCCTACTTGCTGGACAGTGGTGTTAAAGTCCACATGATGTAAGAGAATAATCCAGCAAAGTTGTTTTGAATTTCAACCAGGGCTCTAAGAATAATATTCAGGTACGGAGACCGAGATTATGCCTGCAACTGGATCGGCGGCGAGCGAGCCAGCCTGGCAATACCATACAGCCGCAAAGAAGATTTCGCCAATGCCGGCTACAGCCCCCTGATCACCCCGGATGGATTCAGCGGGATGACTCGCCAATTGGGTAACTTTAGCTTCACACGGGTCTACCAGGCCGGGCACGAAGTCCCCTCATACCAGCCGATAGCCGCCTATGAGATCTTTATGCGCGCAACTTTCAACCGAGATGTTGCAACTGGCCTAATTCCCGTCACAGACGAATTGTCCACGCTCGGTCCGAAGGACACGTGGAAGATAAAGAACGTACCTCCTGAGATGCCGACGCCCCGATGCTATATCTTGAGACCAGGGACTTGCGTACCAGATGTCTGGGAGAAAGTGAAGAATGGCACTGCCGTTGTGAAGGATTGGTTCGTTGTAGAAGAAGACGGGGAAGATATCGAGCTTTTGAAGCCAGATGAGGACGATCAACTAGTCATCGATGAGCTCTGAAATGGTTTTGCTAACAAATAGCTAATAATTGAAAAGTAACTCAAGTTCGTAGCGGGGATATATAAACGAGGAGAACAGATACGCGTCCAAAAGAAGGCAGGAATTCTCTACAGAGAGAACGACTTACCCTACTCTCTTGGCTTGTCTGGCGTGGCAAGATTTTTGAAGGGGGCAAGAGAAGCTACAACCGTCACGTACTGGACACTGATCACTATCAAGAGAGTATTGTAACTTTTCTTGGCCAAAGAAACAAATTGAATGAGAGAGGCTCCCAAGAAGTGAATTCTATTTCAGTTCATAAGCTCATACAAGCGCTACCATGTCCTTGCCACCGACCGTTTTATGTGGACCCATGAACCGACAATAATGACCGAGCCAGAGACTTAGTACTCAATACTACAGATCTCCTCGGGCAGACAGGTTATAAACGGGCCAGAGGGTGCTTCTCGCCCTACAGATTAGTGTACTTCTTGAAAGCGGCAATAAGACCGCCAGTGGAGGCGTCGTGACCAGCGCCCTCGCCAGGCTCGTCAAGCTCCCTATTCGTTGTTAGTGATAGTCTAACTGCATCATTAAAATTGTTCTTACTTCAGAATCTTCTTGGCAAGAACCTTGCCAAGCTCGACACCCCACTGGTCGAATGAGTTGATGTCCCAGACAGCTCCCTCGGTGAATGTGAGGTGCTCATAGTAGACGATCAAGGCTCCTAGTTCAGCAGGGCCGATGTGTCCGCCAACGAGAATGCTGGTGGTAGGTCTGTTACCCAAGAAGACCTTGTGAGGCACCAGGTTCTCGGCGGTTCCCTCAGACTTCACCTGGTCAGCAGTCTTGCCAACCATCAGAGCCTCAGCTTGCGCCAGGTAGTTTGAAGCCAGCATCTTCTGGTGCAGGCCACCCGAGATGGGGTTGTGGCTCTTCGCAGCCAGGATGAAATCAGTGGGAATCAGCTTTGTGCCTTGATGAACGAGCTGGAAGAAAGAGTGCTGGGCGTTTGTGCAGGGTTCGCCGAAGAGGATGGCACCGGTCGTGTACTTGGCTGGTGAACCATCAGAAGTGATGGTCTTTCCGTTGGACTCCATGGAAAGCTGCTGGAGGTAAGCAGGGAACCTGTGGAGGTACTGATCGAAACTGGTTTCCCTGAGGTTAGCCTATCATATTAACACTAGTATAAGTAGACTTACGGAGCAACAAGGTGAGTCTGTGCATTATAGAAGTCTGAGTACCAGACGCTCAAAAGACCTGCAATTGCCGGGATGTTCTCCTTGAGAGGAGCGGTTCGAAAGTGCTTGTCCATCTCATGGGCGCCAGCCAAGAACTTCTCAAAATTCTCATAGCCGATGTAGAGAGCCACGGAGAGGCCAATGGCACTCCAGACGGAGTAGCGGCCGCCAACCCAGCTCTCAAAGCCGAACATGTTCTTAGCGTCAATGCCGAACTTTGTGACCTCAGACTCGTTGGTAGATAGAGCAACGAAGTGCTTGGCGATATCACCCTTGCCATCAGTCTTCTCGAGGAACCAGCTCTTGGCGGTGTTGGCATTTGTTGTGGTCTCAGCAGTGGTGAAAGTCTTGGAGGCAATGAGGAAGAGTGTAGTCTCTGGGTCAGAGGCGGCTAGAGCCTCAGCCATATGAGTGCCATCGATGTTGGAGACGAAGTGAAGAGTTGTGTCCCTGGCACCGTAGTGCTTCAGGGCTTCGGTGACCATAACGGGGCCGCTGTAAGGATGTGAGTCTGTGTTCAACTGATATGCCTCCATCCAAGAAGCTGTCTTGGGTTGCTTACAGATCGGAGCCACCAATACCAACATTGATAATGGTAGTGAGCTTCTTGCCAGTGAAACCTTTCCATTCTCCACTGCGGACCTGCTCGCTGAACTCCTTCATGTGCGCCAGCACCTCGTTGACACCACCGCTGGTGCCCATGACATCGACGCCGTCGACCTGCATCTCCCACGGAGCGCCACTGAGGCCGACATTACGAAGGGCAGTGTGGTACACAGCTCGGTCTTCGGTGAAGTTGATCTTCTCTCCCTTGAACATAGCCTCGCGCTTCTTCTCGAGGCCGGCCTGCTCAGCAAGCTTGACTAGGAGGTCGAGCGTCTCATCGGTTAGGAAGTTCTTGGAGAAGTCGAAGAGGATATCGGTGCTGCCGGGACACGAAGAAACGGTGTCGGGCAGGGTGAAGGTCCGAGTGAACTTCTCGAAACGCTTAGGATCGGAAGCAAAGGCCTCCTTGAGGACGAAGGACTTGCCAACGCTGTCGCGGTGGCTCTGGAGCTCGCTCCAGGCGGGAAGAGAGCTTGCTTGCGGCATTATGGCAGTAGGGTATTATCGATTTGATTCTAGGTTTGGGATTCGCGGGGAGAGGACTATTCAAGAGAGCGTATTAGTCTCGGTGCAAGTGGGAAAACACAACTGACGAGGGCTGTTCTGATCCCGTCTTGTGTGTTATGGCAGACTTGGAATGCTGTCGCAACCGGCAAGAGCTACCTTCATGAAGGTGGGCTGGTGGGGTATTATGATGCCAGTAATCACAGCAGCCATGCTGAAGAGGGCCGAGGTAGAATGAGGGTGACTTACATAGATCGCGTGAGGGCCAATGAAGCTATCAAAGCCTGCAATTCTCAAGAGATCAGTGTCTGTCGTTGTGTTTGGCATTGAAAGCTCAAATTTGAATTTCCTGGCCGATGCTAGGAAGCTCTGTGACAGGTATGGGCGGGGTCGCATCATGCCTTGGTCATTGCCCCACCTTCCTTTTTCCCTAAGACACTTCACCTGGTGGGGGAGGGGTGGAAATGAGGGAAGCGACGAGCCTGAGTTTACGTACCTTTTTGGAAGGGGCGGATTGTGCAGAACCTGGAAAGAGGAAGGAAAGAGGGTGTCACAGCTCACGGAATGGGAAAGCACAGTTGATAAATGAATTGAGGGGTTTTAAGATTTCCTGAGTAAGGAGCTAATCAACTAAATGTTAACGGCCGGTCGCTGGGGGGAATGGAAGCCAAGGTGCAGGTGAGGTGGTCTCTCACTAATGGCAGAAATCTGGTGATGGCGATCTAACGAATCCGGTGGTGCCGCCAACCCCCGCCTATTGGACTGGCTCCCAGGCGACCAGGAGGAACTAAGGAGCTCAGGTGTTAGTAGGGGAGGAAACGGGCGGGAGCAGCAACAGGTCTTTCGTCACTCTGCGTTGCCCCACCGTCGAAACCCTTCAAGACCCCATCGTAAAACCGCTCGTGAGACTGCCATTCGCAGGGCTAGCCTCCTTGCTGCAAGTCTTCTTTGCTCGCAGGTATGACTGAGGCAGCTTATCTCTCCAGATTGGTAGACGCTGAGTAAGGCATCAACAGCATGGAATCCCAATGCCGTATATGTCTTAACCCCAGCTCGCATCACCGGACCAGTCTGCCGCCTCTACCATATGAAGGCCACCAAGGAGTTATCTCCGAACAGGCGTAGGCATTATCTAACACCACCACATTCCCGAGTGCTATACTGCGCATTGCTGTGATGTTACGTCGGATGACTACAGCAATAACGCACCCAGGTCTTCTAGCCATGGCATACCACTTTTTGCAGAATCTTCGCAATGGATTTTCCAGACACTGCCTCGTCATGATGGCGGATCTTGGGTGGCGTGATGGAGTAGGAAGGGCCGATGGCTCAAGTATCATGCACATTTCAGGTAGCTACATAGGCGAGGAGGTAGGTTACTTCTTTTATTGTACCTCACTGAGCCAGAAAGCTGCAATTGGCATGTTTATTGCCTGTTTGTCTCTAACCTGTGGTTGACTGTGTCTACATCTGTTTTGGCTGGAGAGAAAGAAAAAATCAAATCACCAAATGTCAAGAAACAAAAACACCCTCCTGCATTTGCCTATAGCCGGACTCCAATTCTGAAGTGCAAAAGGTGGTACCATCAAAAGATGGAGCAAAATGTCTTCTCTCTGTCGTCACAAGATCTCCTGGCTTCAAAGGCCCGATATCAAAGGCCATCTTCTCTCCTCTCATATTGCCAGGTACTTGGCCGTCCTTGCATGAGCATATACATCTCTTGCCCAAGGCAAGGCAAGAGTGCTATGCTAGATCTTGACTATGGCCTCGCATTCTTGTCATGCTTCCTAGTTTGCGTTGACTCAAGTTTGGTCATGCCGCACTTTTCAACTCCTGTGTATGCCAACTTGTTTATCTGTCTTGAATGCTGCCCACAAAGGAAGGATCCTTCACACTACCGCCTGCATCGTTCAGTCCCGCAATGGGCCTGTTGTAGCTAAAACCCTGGAACTGATTCTGCATGGTCTGCGATAGAACAGGGCCCTCGACGTAGGAATCTTGAGGCGCTTCGGAGGTGAATTCGGGGTCGAAATTGGCTGTATCGAGGGCATCAACCTGAAAGAGTGGGATGTCAGTGAATTGTATTATGATGGATATGTAATGAAGAGAAATACTTACTACACTGGGCTTGAAAGCCGGCTCGTACTTGCGCTGGAGTAGCTTTCGCCAATCAATGGCATGGAAGAACGGGTGAGCCTTGATCTCAGCCGATCCATTCGCACCCAGTCGTTCTGCCGGGTTGCGGTTCAGCAGCTTCGTGAGAAGATCCTTGGCTGCAGGAGGAACCACATCATGGCCAGGGAAGTGCAACGGCTCGGACAGGATCTTTCTGTACATCTCGTTCGTGTTCTCGTCGTAGAACGGCGGCAAGCCCGTAAGCATCTCATAGAGCAAAACACCTAGAGTCCACCAATCCACCGTCTTGTTGTATCCCTGTCCCATCAAGAGTTCGGGTGCTAGGTACTCGGGGGTGCCGCAAAACGTGTTCGTCCTATCCTCATCCTTCATGTCAAGCTTGCAGAGGCCGAAATCGCAGAGAGCAATGTGCCCTTGGTAATCCAGCAGGATGTTCTCTGGCTTCAAGTCTCGATAGATGACATTGAAACCGTGTAGGCACTCGAGCGCGCACAGCAGTTCTGCAGTGTAGAACCTCGACCTATTAACGTCGAAGCGCTGTTCCTTTTGCAGGTGGTGGAATAGCTCGCCACCGTTGACGAAGGCTAGCACAAAGTAGAGCTTCTCCGGGGATTGAAAGGTGAACTTCAGAGGTACAATAAAGGGATTGTTGATTTGGGCCAAGACAGATCGCTCGGCCAGTGTATGGGCGACTTCAGAGCGGGAGATGATGTGAGCCTTTCGGATCGTCTTGAGGGCGTAGATTCGGCTGGTATCCTTCTTGCGAACTTGCATGACCTTGCCGAAGCTGCCTTTGCCGACAACCTTGAGCAGTTCGAAGTCTTCGATTTTCAGCTTGCCCGCCCTGTTCTCCACGTATTCAACGCCAATCTTGAGCTTTCCAGTACCGTACTGTACGTCTGCCCACTCAACTCCACTGTGTCCCAGTGCTCGCTCCCGGCTGGCAAACTCAGCAGCTGCCTTCTCTCTCTCCTTCTTATTCGCCTTCGGGTCCTCCACAAAGGCGTGTTTCTCCTCAAATCGAGGATTGATCCGTACGACACCAAGGAAAATATCCTGGCTCCGGCCAGATCCTGGCGGGGCACTCGGATTTCGGATGTAAAGGTGAACAGCCAGCTCGGTGACGCGGGACACATCGAACTTGTACTGCGTATTTGAGCCAGCCCACAGCGGATTCTCGGGATTGCCTTCCACGGAGTTCACAAACACCTGCACCTTATCGAAATCCAACAAAGCATACGGCATGTACTTGCCAGAAATACGGCCGTGATTAGTGGGGATTCCGTTGAAGCCGCCTCCCGAGGTCTGTGGTCGAGCCCCGCCGTTCATGAAGGGGGCAGACGATCGTTGGGAGGAGTTGGGTCGCATGGAGCCGGCCATGTTCAAGGCATTGCCAGTGGACAGTGAGCTCTGTGGATGTTGGGGGTTGAACGAATTGCGGTGCTGCTCGGGGAGGGAGAAGCCTTGGCCTTCGTGGAGGGTTACGACGAGGATGCCAGGCTTTGGTGTCTTGACCACCGGGGCTTGGGTGAGGGCTTCTGAAGAGGCTACGGGAGTCAGCTACAGCTAATGAGGGAGAAAATCAAGGAGATGCCTACCAATGTTGTTGTCAGTCGTGGGAGTAGAGGTCCCCGAGATACTCGGCGCCTTCTCATCCTTGTCTGGTGTGATGGTCGAGGTCGAAGGCGATCGTGAGAAGGTGCTCGTCAGAGGGCCCAAATGGGTCTCCTTTAATTCTGTTGGCAGAGCAGTCAGCAATCCACGTCTAAATTGTTCCATAGCGGACCGAGAAGCCAGGACAGAGCAGGAGGGCGGAGTTGAGCTTCAGGATATGGTTATGGTCCATCCTGATGTCGTCTCCCCCGCTTCCTGAGGCGGGCGGCGGGACTAGGGGACTTTACTCTTTGTGAGTTTCCAAGACATTGTCATCAGGCGCCGGACTGGGAGAAAGGAGAGAGAAGAGAAGAAGAAGAAAAAAGGGAAAGTGCAAAAGGATCGCCTTGATACGGTCTCTGGAAAGTCGTGACAAAATCGCTGCGTTGGTCAGGGTCGTGGGGAGTCGTGAGGGAATTGGAGAGCGATGATGTCGACGGAGAGTCGAGAGTCCAAGTTGGCCGAGGGGACGATTTGTTGGTTGCAGTAACGTTAGTTGGCGACGGGTCGGTGTAGGCGTGAGAGAGGTTCGTAATAGCGCTGGCAACAGCGGCAGAAGACGTAGGTAGCGCAGGCGCTGAGGGGGGGAGGGGGGGAGCACACCTGGGTCGGGTTACTTTAGTTAAGGTTCCCACTTAAAATCCAAGCCCACTCTTTTACGGTACCACACGACGGGGACGCCTGGGGGGAGGGGAGCGGCGCGGCGTGGCTGTGGAGGCCACTGGACCGACCGTTAGGTTCGCCTGAACAACGGACGGGTAGATCGCAAAAATGGCGGCAGCGGCTGAGGCTCACTCCCGCAGGTTTGATAGATACGGTGATTCAGTTTAGATCTTGGTTATCCTGCCTCTGTATACGTATGGCTCCATGAAGAATTGCTCTACTGTTCCTCGCGATATCCACGCACTGGCTCCTCGAGAAATACAATATAACATTGTAGATCTGTGCAAACGGGCCCTGTTTGAAGACCCGGGCAACGGACGGGGGCAATGTTGACACACCTGCTAAGCTCGATGCGCGGGCCCTTATTTCAGGCGGCTGCCCCAGGTTCAAGGGAGCGACCAGGGAGGATAGGGGCGTAAAAGGGGGCGGCTTGTACTGGACCGGAAATATGAGGGGAGGCTAGAGGCGCTACGGGCTCTGAATCAAGACAATTCAATATCAGAGAGATTGGAGTTTCTGACAGCCTCAGCTCCAGCGGGACCAACAAGCACACGGTGACCGTCTCGACCCTTCTACAGTTTCTATTTGTGGACGTGGACGATGAAAGGGAAGCGACGGGGTCGTGTGCCGCAGGATCCCGGAAGAGACTGGAAGAGTGTTTGTAAGCCGGAAACTGAACGTGGTAGTGCCATAGTGGTGAATCGGCAGCCGGCATCGATCGATCCATCCCTCCTCCGTCTTTTCATATACTTACATTTGATCACATACCGCATTCAACATCGTATCGACTTCTCCCTCACCCTCACCGCAGATACGAGATGTGATGTCTACTAGTAGAGAGCTAGAGAGGGCAGACTTGCCTTGTGGGGGTCTGCATAGGTCGTTGCAATTGCAATCGCCCACCAAGTTGCCCAGGCCGGGGCCTACCACCACCGCTATTCTAGACTTGAAGGCAACCCAGACTAACATTACCTAGGTAGCACGCAGGCGTATCGTTTGGTAACGCCAATCCTGTTTGATCGTAATGCTGACCAGCAGCAACCCCTTCTCCTGTTTTGAGTATTCGTAGCTAGACTATCAAACAACTACTCATTTCTAGAGGGGACATCATAATCAACAATACCTAGTAGAAAAGCCTAAACAGGTGGTCGTTGCTACACATCAATCCACATGCCTAGATTAGGCTGTGAGAATCACTCTCAAGCAAAGTCTCGTCCATGGGCTCTTCTAAACTCATGAAGCAGCGAGTTTTCGCAGCTGAAGACCCCATTAGCAACCATTGGAGCCCAGAGACTAGCCGCGAGATCGACCTGGGGCGGTTCTGCAGCACAGCCTTGACGATGGCAAATTGACGCAGCTTTCAGCCCACATGTTACATGGAGCCTTTCGGCGAAACCGTCCTGACGGCACCCGAGGCGCGCTAACTGCAGCGTTTCACTTCTCCCTTTCGACCAGGCTTATCACGTGATCTTTTGACCTCTCTATTACTCTGCTAATCCGCTCTTGATTTCAGATGATGTTATTGATTAGTGTTAGAATCCAAAGAGCGTCTTCCTCAGATGGAATGGCATTGGACGTCTTTCAATCATTTGCAAATCGTTCGTAAGTTCAGCACTCTTCTCACTTGATAATAAATTGTGCAAGAGCTAAGGCCCGCGCGCCGAGGCAGTTGGAAAGATCCACGCAAGCATATTTGTTGTTAGTCGGTCAGTTTCGTACGCATTACGGAGCCCGCAACTTACGGTCGGTGGCCAGGAACATCTACCTTAGTTGAACACTGTTGGAGCGTGAAACAGCATGCGAATGTCCTATCCAAGCCTACAACTAACTAGGTAAACTGCTCTCATAACAAGCCGCTGTTGTGAAAATATTCCATATGTGTGATCAGAGCACTGAGCCTAGACCTAAATGGTCTGCTGTGCCGCAATGTCGTACTGCTTCTGCGCGCGCCGTCGGGGTCGGAATGGACAAGTTTGCTGTGGCCAGCTTTCATCTTGACCCCCTGGCTAAGTCAACTGGCACCATCACTACAGGCCAGCCCAATCCTTCCGATGAAGGCATACTTTCCGACTAGACGGCTTGCATCGTACATTAAATGCAAGTTTGTCGTGGATGGCAACCGAATCCAGTCCGGAAGGCATCGCCATTCGGCTCCGTACCCCAAATGACGACCACTCGCCTGAAATCTCGAGCCAGCCCGCTGAGGCGACGGCTGGCTCGAGCGCCGGAGCCGTGATGGAGCCGATGGATATAGAAAACCCGGAGGCCGGATCTCCAAGCCAGAGTAACACACCCCCGGTCGTGTACATCACTGGCTGGAGGCTGTATCTTCTTACTTTTGCTCTGTGCCTTTCATTACTGCTGTCGACGCTCGAAACTACAATCGTCAGTACGTCTCTGGTCTCCATCACCGATGCCCTAGGAGGCTTCGACCAGAGAGACTGGATCGTGACCGCATATCTGCTGACTTACACTGGTTTCCTCATCATATACGCCAAATTTAGCGACATCCTAGGCCGCAAGTCGATGCTGCTTCTCGCCATTGCGCTCTTCACCATCTTCTCCATCGTCTGCGGCTCCGTATCCAACATCCTCCAGCTCATCATCTTCCGTGCTTTCCAGGGCATGGGAGCATCGGGCATCTATTCGATGGTCACGGTCATCAATCCTGAGATGGTCCCTCCTACGCAATGGGGCAAGTACGTGGCCATTACGTCAATGGTTTTCATCCTCAGTTCTGTTCTTGGCCCAATCCTTGGTGGCGCTATCAACGACCACGGGTCGTGGAGATGGGTCTTCCTTCTCAATGCTCCGGCTGGGGTCATCGCAACCGCTCTAATTGCTTTCGTTCTTCCGACGCGCTTTCCGTACCAAGGCAACCCTGCAATGGCGATGAGATTCCGAGACAAGTTTTCCGCTATATCGCTCTCGCGATTGGATGTCATAGGAGCCCTGATACTTCTCGCCGCTTCCATCCTGGTTGTCTTTGGCTTCGAGGAGGCCGGCGCGCGGTATCCTTGGAGCAGTCCCGCGGTCATTGTGACACTAGCTTTAGGAGGCGCGCTGTTTGTCATCTTCGTTGGGTGGGAAAGACTCGTTGGCAGGGAGCATGTCGTCCAAGAGCCCATATTCCCATTACGCCTGATGAAGAGCCGTTTCTTCGTCGGCATGTTCTTGTAAGTCTACCTCAGGATAGCATATTGATTGTAGCACGCTGACTTTGCGCCAGAGTTGGATTCTTCACTGGGCCGCCGTTTATGACGGTAATCATCAATCTGCCGCAGAGGTTCCAAGCCGTGAATGGGCTCAGCCCCTTTGATGCCGGAATTCATTTACTTCCTCTGCTCCTCTGCTCACCATTTGCGACCGCCATATGTGGTTCACTGGCAAGCAAGCTAAATGTTCCACCCTTCTACATTCTCATCACTGGCGCCTCGTTGCAGCTTCTAGGCGTGGGTCTCGCAAGCTCTGTGGGAATCAACGGCGACAAACAGATGTACGGCTACGAGGTCATCATGGGATTTAGCTTTGGAACAGTTCTAGTGACGCTCTTGATGTTCGTCCCGCTCGTAATCCCACGAGAGGATATGGGTAAGTTTAAATGGTATTCTAAGTTGTCTCGTCTTCTATTAACATCTGCTAAGCTGTTGCAATGGGTGCCATCACTCAGATTCGAGTCTTAGGAGGCACAATTGGGCTTGCAATAAGGTAAGCAAACATTTAACTCACTTGGGATCCTCCTCAAATTTTTGCTACACTGAGTTGTAAAACTAACTTACACTAGCTCAACCATCCTGACCAACTCTATCTCAGGGCCCCTCTCAATGTTGCTATCACCGTCCGAAAGACTAGGAATTTCTGACTCTGTCCAAAATATAAAGATGCTCCCCGATGAAACTCGGGATGCCGTTCGGCAGGTGTTTTCTGATGGTTATCGTGCTCAGATGAGAGCTATGTTATATTTCAGTCTGGTTGTTTGGCTCTCCACATTCCTACTTTGGGAGAGGAAGCCGAGGACAGCGAAAAGTATAGAGGGTTATTAGGGCTCATACAATCCATTATTTGCTGTACTCTATAGCTGTGAAGTATCCTACCAAATGCGAATGCAACTGTGATGCCGCCCTGCATATAATGGTTGGGTCGCTTGCCCATCACGTTGACATTAGCGCCAGGTCTGTCATTAGTTACATGTGTTTCCTTATCTCTATCGACCAGCTTATCTCAGATTTCATTCAAGAACCTCAACACTCACTACTGGCCTATCTATAATGACGCAAAACATCTACGATGACCCTGAATTCTTCGCCGTCTTCAGGCAACTGCGAGCCAGTGCCGAGAAGAATGGGATTATGGGTGGGTCAATGACAGCGGAGGAGCTCGTCGCCATCTTACCTTCGCTTCGCAATGCATCGGTCCTCGATCTTGGATGCGGCGATGGGTGGTTCAGTCAACTAGCAATGACTCAAGGCGCTTCTTCAACCCATGGCTTTGATCTCTCAAAATCACAAATTGAGCTAGCGACGAAGGCTATTGAGTCTGCATCTGGTGCAGACAGCATGAAGTTCGAAGTTGCGAACTTGGATAGTGTTAAGCTCGACACGTCCAAATATGACTTTGCCTTCAGCTCTCTAGCAGTACACTATCTTCAAGACCTTCCCGGGCTATTCTCCAAGGTTTATGCAAGTTTGAAGCCTGGTGGCCACTTTTACTTCTCGACAGAGCACCCAATTTATACTGCGCCGGTTCGTCGCGAAACGTGTAGTCAACTTGATGGGACTCCCCATTGGGCGTTGAACCACTATTGGGATGAGGGCGGCCGGCGTCACCACTGGCTTGGACACGATGTGGATAAGAATCACTGGACAGTAGATACATATGTCAACACCGTCCTGAAAGCAGGGTTTGAACTGGTCTACTTCCACGAATGGGGCCGCCCTGGCGATGGCAAATTTGATGGATCTAAGTGGTGGATGACAGCGGACATTGGCCCAACTTTCCTGATGCTAGGGGGTAAGAAGAAAGCAACTTAAGGATGTCTAGCCAACACCATAGCAACCAATAATGGTACTTGTCAATACATACAAATTGTGCTTCTGCATACTTCTGCATACTTCTTAACTCTTGCCTGAATCTACGATACCGCTCGATCCAGCATCACACCACGCGGGTCTTTTGTGACATTGTCACCCCAAGTTGCCTCCCATCCATGTTCGGCCAGATACTTCTTCCATGCTTCATCGTCGTCGTCAAGACGTCTTGACACTTCGGGTATGACAAAGATAGCCACAAGAGCACCCAGAACCGCAAAGCTTGATCCGATAAGGAATGCCACTCGATTTCCATACTCCGGGTCATCTGTATAAGCATTGAGAATGGCAGTGAAAACCTGGGTTCCAATAGCTGCTCCAGCTTTTGACCATGCTGAAACGAAGCCCATCATCTGTCCCCGGATAGACGTCGGGAAACATTCCGAAGCAGTCAGAACGACGGTGCTGCGCGCATTCATTAGCTCATACACCTGAAGCAAACATTGACGCGCTGCACTTACCTCCCGGGTCCAACTTCACCAAGCGTGAGGAAGATGCCGTATAGGACTACAAACAGTGGAAAGATTTTCTGGATAGGTCCAGCAGCACCGCCAAGCACAAAACCTAATATAGCTTGCAAAGTGAAGCCCAATGCCATCGTCTTTCGACGGCCGATCTTGTCCGAGAGATATCCACCAATAAATGGTCCTGGAAGATAGAAGCAGTTTATGACGACTCCCCAGCCAAGTGTTTTCACCAAGCTGTCTCCTACATTGACACGTGAGATGATCGTTGAGCTGAAGATGCCAAAAGGAATCGAGATCCAGTTGTATAGAAACCAAGTGCCCGCACATCCTATGAGGGAGCGCCAATATCTCTTCAGAGCAAGCACGTAAGGCGTGCGCTGTTTCCGTAGAGCTGATTTCCTGTAGGCTGTAGATACTGCCATTCTAAGACGAAACCAGAAGATCACGAGCGGCGGAATCGCGCCAAGAGCAAATGAAGTCCTCCATACAATTGGGTACTTGTCTTCTCTTTGACCAACACAGAGCAGAAGCAACAAAGGGACCAAGCCACCCCAGACATATCCTAAGGAGCTTGACAAGTCTGCAAGCATGGCAAACATGAATCCCCTACGTTTGCGGTACTTGCCGCTCTCGTCGGTAGCTTCGGCAGCGCCAGCACCAGAAACCGGGTCTATTTGGATGGGGTTAGTGTATGAAGATGTAATGAGTTCGCGGTGCATGCGGGGGGATAGTGCTACGCCAAAGGTAAAACATCAGTCGGGAGACATGACTTACACTCGCCACCAGCTCCAACACCCGCTATGCCTCTTGCTATTATCAGCATCCAGAAGAGGCCTGTTGGAGAAGTTCCATTTGCAGCTGTTGAAAGGGCGATTCCGAGCACAAGAAGGACAGTGGTTGCAACAGCTCCGGTCTTGCGGCCCAGTTGATCCACAATCACACCGAAGAGTAACATCCCAACGATCATGCCGATTAAAAAGGCATTGCTCAATCGGGTATATATAGAATTCGTCAGCGCATCTGGGTAGATAATCGCAAGTAGTAATTCGACGTTTCCAATAACAGCAGCATTGCTATGAATATGATTAGCACGACTGTTTTTCGTAAGGAAAGCTGCGAGAAGCATGGAAATGATACACGTACTAGCCATCAGATCCGATTGCAAGACCGGAGAACAATACCATTAGCCACACAGATAGCTTACTGAAGTAGGTTTTCTCCACCTCATCAGCTGGGTGAATCTCGAAATCGTCATCACCCGCCAGTGCAGATATGTTTGGTTTCTTCTCAGCCTGTATATTGTCGTCCTCTGCAGGCGATGCTGTATTAATGTTGCTGTCCGCCATGTCGGTCCTGGGGTTACTCTGATTTGACAGTAATAGGATTGAACAGAAGAGGACGCTCTCTCTAAAAGACTACCAGAGACACGAGGACCATCTGCTTTATCAATCTAGTAACTATCATGCTCGTGGGGCGTATCGGAGACCCCCGCCTGCTAGTCAGCATCTTGGTTGGGACTGAAGATGTAACATGGGTCCCCCTAATCTGTTATCTATCGCAGCAACAGGGCCAGGGATGGATTACCGGCAGATGACTGCGGAGAAACATGTGAGATACGAAGCTTCACAGGTCGGACTAGATGTCTTACACGCGTTGGAGTGGGGAAAAGTGGGAGGCGTAGACCGGTTTCAGGGGCCGGTCGGCCGTGACTACGCCGATCACTTGCGCTATCGTGCCCTAGAGCAGCTCGCCCTGCAATAGTTTCGGGAAACTCGCTCGGTACTGCAACGGCAGTTTCCCGCTTGCCCTTCCGCATCAATAAAGCTGTCAGCCCCAGGATCTCATATTCTCGAATGAGTACATTTGTTGAAAACGTCACATTGATACCGCTAACTTCATTTGAGGAAGAGCAAAGATGGAGGCTGCGGTAGAGAAGGCTGCTTGGAAGTATGCGCCTACGGAGCGTTCACCATCAAAAGCAGGCCCAGCATTAAGCCGGCGGTATTTTGTTTTGCTGGCTTTATCGTTGGTGCTCTTCTTAATAATTACCGGTACACCTCATGGCGGCTTTCCATGCCAGGTGACAAAATATGATACTACATTGAGCAAGGTACAGCAATGCGCCATCGATAATTTACACACGGATCTTTCGTTCCTAGATACGGCGAAGCCAATTACTAGCGATGAGTTCATCGAACGACGTGATCGATTAGCCAAGGCCCTTGCAGCTTCCAACGTCGACGCCTTCGCGCTTGAGCCTGGATACACGTTTCAGTATGATGATTACGTTGCGCTAATCACTCGTCTTGAAGATTCTAACCTTAATCTAGATACTATGGGAACATCTCGCAAACAGATTGGGAACCATGGGAGCCAGAAGAACGCCCATTTCTCATGCTCATCATGCCCGAACAAACACCATCAGGGGTAGTCAAAGCCAAGACTGCCTTTCTCTCCCCACATTTCGAAGAGGGACGGGTTCGTATGCTAGGCATTCCATCTCATGACGACGAGCTTGATATTGTTATCTGGGAGGAGCATTGGAATCCTTACACGACCCTTTTGAACTCGAGGCTCTTCGAAGGGAAAGCTCGCCCAATTTTGATGATGGATGAAGAAATTCGTGACTATATCGTCCGAGGACTCGACTCGGCCGGCTTCAAAACCATCGGTCTGAATCCTGAGGTCGAATTGGTTAGGCAGATCAAGAGTCCTGCTGAGGTTGAACTATTAAGGGCAGTAAACACGGGTACCGTCGTTGCCGTCCGCGCGATGCGACCATGCCTTGTTCCTAGTCTCACGGAGGATGACGTTAGAGATATCCTCGATGCCGCGTTACTGTCAATTGGCTTTAGTCTGTTCTTCGATATAGTTCTCTTTGAAGAACATGGCGCGCTGCCTCATGGCGGATTCGTCACCGGTGGAAAGAAACTGACTTACGAGAGCATGGTCGTAATTGATGTTGGCGCCCACTACCTAGGGTACTCGTCGGACATCTGTCGAAGTTTCTTCATAGATCCGCCCCGGAGCACCACATGTCATCCACGAATGGGCTCGGTAAGCTCACTTATTCACATCCTCCAACATGGGCGGAATCGAGAGGCATCATGGCAGTTATCCAATCCGGAACTCTATGCAGAAAAGCTCAAGGTCTGGGACATTGTACTTGATGCCCAGACTGCCGCCGCCGCCGCCTTCAAGCCTAATAGCAGTGCAGCAAGTGTAGACATCGCTGCAAGGTCTGTGATTGAGAAGGCAGGCTACGGTGCTGGTTTCACTCATCGATTGGGACATGGGATCGGAATCAAAGGCAGGCTCATTTATCCCCTACTTATGTGACACAACTGACCAGTAATAGCACACGAGTCTCCCTACCTGAATAAGTGGAACCGAGAAGTATTGCTACGCCCTGGCATGACATTTACCAACGAGCCTGGAATCTACTTGGAAGGACGATTTGGAGTTCGACATGAAGATATATACCTCGTTAAGGAGGCCGGTGACGCGGAGTTGTTAAGCGGGAAAAGAGCTCAAGGTCCATATGAACCCTGAAATATCAATTTTCTAGAAGTAAAGAAAAAATCAACGGCTAGCTTGTTGCTGCTTATAATTTCAATCTGCCAAGTCGAAGCCCAAACTGCATTCCTAAAGACCAACTGCCTTTAAGACAGCAATCACCCCCCAGCCAACAGTCAGGACGTCCAAAAAGCCAATAACGTTCCTGCTATCCGAGATTGCTTCGTTGTAATCATCCAGCATAGGCACTTTGGCCTTGTCCGACCAAAAGCTGTCCATGTAGCGAGCAGCGTATTTCTGACCAGCTGCTAACAGGACTGGCCATGCAATGCGGTAGAGGTTGAAGCCTTTGGGGACGGTGAAGGCGTAGACCAGTGCACTGATTAGTGAGATTAGAGTCTTCGGGAATGTCAGCAAGTCTGCATCGCTATTCTTTAGGCTTCAAAGGCCATTGGAGTGAAAGCACATACGGCTACGAAGCCTGTGCCAACAGTGTATCGCGTATCCCAGAGTCGTTTCTCGGCAGCTTTGCTCCATTCGGCTGCCCTCTCTGCACGCTCCTCGTACTTTTTGAGCTTCGGAATAGAGCTTTGCGAGTGATACAGTGCATAGCCACTAATCAAAGCGATAAATACAGCAATAGTAGCTGTTGGGAAAGTCATCTTGAAATGGCGTGGACTTAAATGATGTGCAAGATCGAAAGTCGTGAGGTACGAATAGATGAGAATCAATTTAAATTCGTTTCCACAAAGACATTGCCCCTCGATTTCTAATGACGTCAGAGAGCATAACCAGTCAGTCACATTATAGAGAGGAGCAGTCTTAGCTTCTCCTTGCGGATTCCGGCCACGGTTTGATCCAACAACGGCTGTCTGTATTACTTGAAAGCTTTCGAAAGCAGGCGTCTCATCTAGATTGACCGAGTCAAGTGTCGGCTGTCAATACGCCGCTGGGGTCAAGCTTGGCGGATCTCCACAGCTCACATCCAACCAGTGACGTCAATGCCAAATACACAATTTTTGAAGGTCTTACCGTTCAACCTATCTCATTAAAACATCTTAATCTTTTCAGTCTTCCCAAATATCTAGACAATGGTTGTGAAAAATCGCCAGATCAGAAGCCTTTCGAAAATTTAGGCGTCTAGATCTCGAATATATGTAATGGGTCTCAGCGTAGAGTTTGTTCTCTAAAATAGATCCTTCCACCTTCGCTGTGAGCCATGTTTCGGTCTACTTGAAGGATATTCGTATCTCAACCTGAAGAGAGTTGTTTAAACTGCTCTAGGAGACTCCGCTAACCGATCCCGAGCTTACTAGGCTATGTTATCGAGAAATCAAAGTCTCCGCCGTGACGGCACCAATAGGTTTCCGCCGTGACGGCGTCGCGTCTCCGCCTTTCCTTTACCCCTCGAAGTTAAGCCACAGGATTTGCCAAGCCAGTGCCGTACGCCTACATGAGTGCATAGTTATGATGTGAGTCATAGCACCATTTCGGTGATCAAAGAGGATAGATCTTTACCAAACGAGCAGGTACGTGGCGGCGGTGATGGATGAACAGGCCGTCGCGGAGAACAACTATTTTTAGCCGAGACCAAAAAACTGAAGCTTTAGAGGCATGGCTGGATATATAAGTACTAGCTGGCTTAGCTACCGTCACAATATCAATCAACTTTGGTGTTGACTCCAACTTTCAAATTGCGAACCTTCATTAGAACTTGTACCACATATATACTTCTACCAACTACATCATGTCCATCTCTGAGTGTTGTCTCAAAGGATTTCAGTGGGAGGGGGCCCCAACTGGACGGATCGATAAACTAGGTAACAATCCGGCCTACATCGCTGGTGATAATGCCGACGCGGCGGTTTTGCTCATCCACGATCTACTGAGTTGGGAGTTCCCAAACATGCGACTTCTTGCAGATCATTATGCCCGCGAAGCAGACGTGACAGTCTACTTGCCTGACTTCTTTGGAGGCCAACGATTTGACTTCGAACCGATTCTCAACGAGCGATGGCATGAATTAGACCTTGCTACATTTACGAAGGTTAATTCGCGCCAAAATCGGGAGCCTGAGATCTTCGAGTGTGCTAGAGCCTTGAGACAGAAGTATAAGAAAGTCGGTGCAATTGGCTACTGCTTCGGTGGTTGGGCCGTCTTTCGCCTCGGTGCGAAAGAACATCAACCGCCACTAGTCGACTGCATTACAGCCGGACATCCAACTTGGCTTACTAAACAAGATATTGACGAAGTCGCCGTGCCGGTACAAGTCCTTGCGCCGGAAATAGACACGGTCTATACCAAGGAGTTGAAAACTCACACCTTCAACAAATTGCAGGAATTGGAGATTCCCTTCAGTTACCAACACTTTCCCAAAGTTGTCCACGGTTGCTTCTCCCGTGGATATCCAGATGTCAAAGGAGAGCGAGAGGCCCTGGTGAGAGGCAAGAATGCTGCTGTGGATTGGTTCAGGCAGTGGCTGAAAGAATGATGTCTTCTCAACCTAGCCTCTTTTAAGCTTGTATGACCGCAGAGGAGAACAGCATATGCATGCCTATGAAAGTTTCACCTTATACCCAAGTCAATTGATGAGTCTCTTGGAATCTAGCTGTCTTTCAAAGAATGAAATTTGCGTCAATTTTGTAGTTTAGTCATGTTCGGTATCGTAACATACACGGCTAAGATAAGCTATTTGTCAGAAACAGAAGCCTGAATCAATAAAAGGTAGCAAGCTGTAAATGGGTCAAGATAATAACAAAAAGGGCAGGAAACAAAGGGAAACACTGGATTGGACGGCTTGTGCTGGCTTGGCTCTCCAAGGTTCTCTATGTACCTCCCTAAATCTAATCAATAACAGATATTTACCTACTTGTTTCACCTACAACCTTGACCTACGATCTTGCAAAATGACAACCAAGGAGTCTTGTGTCACAGAAACTTTTAATCATAATGAATAACATTCGGATGGTATTTGATGAGTTTCTTTGCTTTCTATCTATCGAGAGACTATTGCTCGCAAGTATCATCGCCCTCCCCTGCCGGTACCGCGAAATATATGCGCTGCCTCAATTTAATTTGTGTTGCAATTGCGGGGTGCATAAACTCTCACTTGGATTTTTGATTGCTCAAGCCGGGTGATTTGCAGCGGGCGAACCATCTCAGGCGCATCATATAGCAAGTTTTCCCTTTAGCCTCACTGCCGAGGTTCTGGTTGTAGGGATATTTGAGGTTTTATATACAGCATACCTAGCAATGTTCATACATAATCATGAAGTCGGGGTGAAGGGCGATCCGGACTACAAAGCAAACGGCTAGACCCGTGTCCTCTTCGAAAAGTAGACTCTTCTACAAGAAGGCGGTAAAGTGATCCTCAGGCAGTATTTGCACAATGCGGTTCGGCATCTTGTCACATATCCTTGGTTTCGCAGCTTTCGTAGCTGCACAGACGCCCGACGGGTTTAGTCCCAGCGTGTCGGCTCACCTCGACGTTGTTTTCGGCAGTAAAATCGTGTCACCCGGGTCGGCGCTCACCAAGGCAGGTTCGTGATTTCTCACAAAATCTTGTTAAATTCAAGGCATCGATTGACGAAGCATTAAGATACGGCTACGCAACCGACAATTGGGACTACGACAGCGTTGAACGCTACCTATATCCTTTTTATGATTGGTGAGTTGTATTGTGTGCTAGTCCATTCACACGGGGACTACGAATTGACAATTCGCGATGCAATTGATAGACCTTGATGTGTAAGTCTTGCCACTGCTCACAAAATGGTGTTAACATTCACTTACTTGGTTGTATAGGCCGTCGTCATTCACGAATCCGAACTCTGGACCTCGAAGGACCAACCTTCATGCCTTGATCTCGGACTTCAAGCCTAGTGGAAAGACCACAGAATCAGGGGTGAACACGTTGACATCGTCAGCCACAGGTCCAGCCTCATATATGGCACCTGCGCCTCCTGCAGAAAATCCTCCACATCCGCACCGCTATGTTGAGCTATTATATGTGCAACCGCCAAACTTTGCCGTGCCAGCAACTCAGCGGGCGGCTGTGCAACAGAAGCTAGGATTTGACATTGTCTCATTTGCAGCAGATGCGGCGCTTGGAAGCCCTATTGCCGGTAATTACTTCAATGTCACTGGGTGAATTGCATGGTATCTCTTGATATAATGAAACGCTGCTTATATCTCTGTTGCACACTTTAAGGGTTCACATAGTGCTTACATTACTGAAGTGAGTCAAGGAGCAGTTATAGCAAAAAATGCTTATGTTTTGTACGACACTGGTTATGATACAGAATATAGTATAATCATGCCGTGCCCATGCTGCCATCCTTTCACGCCACGCTAAAATCCAAAAGCTTGTTGTGCCAGAGTAGAGACCTAGGCGTTAGCTTGGGCGGTGAAGTTGCTGAAGCCTTGTGCATCAGAAAGATCAGCAATGCTGAGGCCGTCAGCATTGAATGGCGTGGTGAGAGATTGAGCAGATAGCTGGTTGGCAACATCAGCACCAACAACATCAGGGTCAATCAGAGGCAAGATGCCGCGGAGCTCGGCAGTGGCTGGGAGCGTAGCGTCGCTGCAGAGGGTAGGGATATCCTGAGCGAAGGGGTTGAAGTTCTTCTCAGCAGCAACCAGCTGGGCCGCGGCGGCAATGACCTGAGCATCGTTCCCGAGTTGGGAGACGATGTCGTCAGCTAGCGAGAGCTATCATGATATCAGCAATCAACTCAGAGGTGTATTAGTTTATAGGTTTACCTTCGCACAGGCGTTTGCTCCAGCTAGGAGAACACCTGGGGACTGTCCGGCCAGAGTAGCAGCGGCGCCAGGGTTGCCAAAGTCACTCAGAGCTGAAATGACGTTCTGAACAAGACCCTCCTGCCCGAAACGCGCCTCGGTGAGTGCTGCAATGGCAGCAACGATGAACAACTTAGAATGCATCTTGAAGTTGGCGATGAAAAGGGTATAATAGATTAAAAATCGTAGTTGTTTAATAGAAAGAAGGTCACCAGTGACAACGAGAGAATCGAAAGATCGAGCCGGTCGGTCAGAACGAGAGAAAGGCGAAAGGAGAGTCGATGCTATACTGCGCGAGGCCGCAAATACAATTGGATCGTTGGGTCATTGTCGATTATATAGTTGGATGTGCTGGTAACGAATTACACGGCAAAATGGAAAGATTTTGATCCATGGCGATCATACTGTGTACTGACACAAGGGACGAAGAACAAGGCCCCCAAAGGCGTAATCCAGTAAGCCTTGCATGATGCGCTGCGTCAAGAACTTCTTGGAAACGGAAGAGGCAGCAGTGGCCTGTGTTAGAGAAGGGCGGGTTTTGGCTGATCAGGGGCAAGGGGCCACTAAGATCCCGCGCGCATTGGACCTCGGAACCAAAGTTTTGTTAACGTCGTGCTAAGAGAGCTACACTGGACGACACACGAACGAAGACACAGAAGTTAACAGACTTGTTTAATGCTATGCCTGCCATTGACTACATATTGCTTCCCAACTTGCGAGGCGATTGTCAGAACAATGAAGTTTGACAGGCTTGGATGGAAATATGCTTATTACGGTTAAAGAGACCTAAGGAATGCCAAATTTGCCGGACAAATAGATCCTAACGTTCTCGTACCGACGCATCAAGCTCTTCTGCAAAAAGTTCTGCAGTGAGTGCGGTGTTGCAAGACAGGTGAGCTGGAAGATTGGGCATGTGCTTGGGTGTCAGAGCGACATAATTGCCCAGATCGAGTGGGATCAATTGAACCAAGATAGAAATATTTTCCGCTATTGCTGAGTTGCCGAATTCAGAATTCAACGCCGACAGCAAACTCAAGATCTTCGCACCGTCCAAGGTTCAACGAGGTTTGGTGTTGTGAGATCGCATCTACATTTCAGATCGTAATGAACAATCAAAAGACAATGAGTATGAATATTAAGCGTAATTCGGTCGATACCGATCGTGAGCCATCCGACAACGGCCGGTGCCGGTCTCATACTGGCCCTTATCCGGAAGGTAGCACGGAGCAGCATGGTTTCTAAACATGCACGTCAAGCTGATGCGAGAGACACAGAGGCATGCGTTAGTGAACGTACTACTACTCACCTTGGCACCTTACATGGCTGCCAATGTGTTGCACCGTATTGGAAGCAGTGTTTGCATTCCATGCCATCTCGTCTCGAAACCAAGCGCCAGTTCCTGGGGTGAAAGAGGGGTGCCGGTCGGCATTCCTATAAGAAGCCGAGTGTCGTGCAGCTATAGGCGGAACGATCCAAAATGCACTGCAGATCTGCCGACGCTAAACCTACTTGCTTTGCCAATCACCGCGACGAGTGTCTTCTCGTGTTAACAGTATGTAACGCCCACTGAACTAGCGACGCCGCATCGGTAAGCCAATCCGGTAAGAGAAGTTGGCTTCGGTCGACTTGGATGGAACAAGAAGGTGAGATTGCAGGAGTAGGCCTTTCGCTAGGACAGTGCGCGATAAGGAAACATTTACACCACCCAGATCTTCACGTGGGATGCTGATAAGATTGAGATCGGTAACATTTGTCAAGGATGCAGGAGAAAATCGATCGAGCTGTGCATATTCAGGGCAGACCTGGCGTTGCTTTGGCTGTGGAGCCTGTTGCGCCTGTCATTTGTATACAATATCAGGGGATCATTCACTCTATTCCTAACCGACGCAAATATTTATATTCCTCGCTGAACCGCTGTTCAATTATCAAAAAGCTCTACAGTTGTGCCTCGACCTACTGATCAGCCTGAAGCGCCTCTAAGCTCAAACTCGCTTTTTATCCCTTTAGTGACATCGCCTAAGACGCAAAGATGGTAAGGCCATATCATGCTAGCATGAGTAGGATCAGTCACTTAAAAAGATGCAGCTTTTCAAAACGCTATTCTTCGCAGTGCTTGCGGCAACGACCGTGAGCGCCGCGCCTGTCGATGTAGCAGATGTAGAGGAGAAGAGAGCTGTCTGTGTCTATCATTGTGGGTCAGTTTGCTATTGGCAAGAGGACATTGACGAGGCACTGGCAAAAGGATATTCTCTTTATAAGTCTGGGTCTACTCTTGGTAAGAACCACTGATAGGATCTCATGTAATATTGTCCACTCACAGGTACTTCAGGGTCTGGCAGCTATCCTCATCAGTATAATAACTACGAAGGTTTTAGCTTTCCAACAGCTGCGCCTTGGTATGAATTCCCGATCTTGTCTAGCTACACTGTGTACAGCGGTGGCTCTCCAGGGGCAGATCGAGTCATCTTTGACTCCAAGGGCAATTTTGATGCTTTAATTACACATACCGGAGCTAGCGGCAACAATTTTGTAGCATGCACTAAAGGATAAAGAAAATACTGGGTTAAGTGTTCCATCTCATCTACATGGTGATGGAAATTTGCCCATACTTGATAGGCAACATATACAACTCCATAAATCCACTATGAACAGCCAAGATGAAATTCGAGAATGGAAATTGCTTCTTGACAATCTTCAATTATTATCCTGACTACCACTCTTGTGGTGACTATCATGACCATTACCACTCTCATTGTCATCTTCTATCTGTGTTGGTCTCGGTCTCGGGAATTGAGGCCCATCTTGGTGAATCATTCTAGTCTGCTCCGGAGGCATTCCGTAGCTTTGGAACCTGAGTGATGGTTCCCTCCAGATTGGAGTTGGTATAGGCGGCCCTCTTGTCATGTCGCGAGACATATTTATAGGCGGCTCTCGGTCCCTATACTTTTGAATATTTTGTAGCTCTTTTGAGACATTCCTCTCCCTCTCTTTCATCAGTTTAATTTTCTCATCCTCCCGATTTCTAAGAATGATATGAGCCTCACGAAGCTTCCTATCCTGTTGCAATTGATGTAATGTTACCACTGCTGCATGCCCTAGTTCCGTCCTTAGGTCCTTTCCTTGAAGTCTGTCCCATTTTCCGCGATTCTTAATCCAACTATGGTTAGAAACATTCAAAATGTTGTGTAAGTGGATTGAAAAGGTAATTTCGTACCTGTTCCTTTATTTCGTTTAGCATATCAGAAAGATTAACTGTTTCCTGAAGCGGAAATTCAAACATGCGCCTTGGAAGCGTTTCAACTTCTTTTCCCAAATCAAATGGCTGCCTTCTGATTTGTGACGCTGTATCAGCATCATTCTCCGGGTCTCGGGGAATGCCATTCTTAATGTTTGACTGTTCTTTGTTGATAGCGTTAGATGTTCTTGCACCGCCAGTACCCCTTTGATCATATGCGGCGGATCTTTTCTGATCATCTGAAGATTCAACATCATTTTTATCGGAATTTTGATGTTCCAAGATCGGTTGAATGTTTTCCTTGCCGTCTTCTGTAGTATAATTGTCTTGATGCTTGATGCTCTTGCTTGTTTTCCTTGTGGCCTTCTCAGATCTCACCTCTTCCTCGTTGACTTTCGCTTGGGTCTCATTATCTCTCTCATCAAATGAAGAATGGACGGACAGTTCCGATGCCAGTGGTGTTGACAGAGGCATACTGCTTCTAGTTAGCTGACACCCCTCGACTATTAGATCCTTCACCACATCATCGGATGCCATGAGCCCGAAATCAAGCTCATAGATAGGCTTAAGGAATTTCGCCTTGATTGTGTTGCTGCTCAGTAGTACGATACGATGGAACCTTCCGTGTCGGCGTTTCACTCTAATCTGATCAACGTCAGCCTTTTCACGTGATAAGATCAGCTCTTGTAATGATGATACCTCTGCATGGAAATTGAAAGTTAAAAGTTGCTTCAGCGCCATATGTAAGACATCCTGTGAAAGCAATGGCTGCGTCAGAGTCGACGTCACTTGTATTAAGTCGATTGTGTCGTCATATACATGATCAGGTCTAGTAGATGGCCGATATGACAGTTTGGTGTCCGGTTTTGAATGCGAGTTTCTGTGTCCCGGTATTCTAGTGGATTTTCTTCGCTCACGATGATAGTTGACCTCTGGCTTGTTGGTATTGGCTTTTTCTAGGCTCGCTATATGTGTTGGCGACAGAAAGTCTGAGAAATTAATGATGCGCTTAATGACCACATGACGTTTAACAGTGTGTTTCAGGTCAGCCGTTAAGTGTCTGGTCTCCTCATGAGTCCCTGCCCAATACCACTGATGCTGAGGTAATTTGACGGAAGCTGCCGGTGATGGGGTGTATGTGCCATTGTTGACAACTCTGTGGGCACTGACACTCCAGCTTCCTACTGAGTATTCCACTGTCAACTCTGTGGACCTTGATAGACCCAACGATACATTGGCCGATGGAGTTCCAGATCCTGACAAGCCGATATCTCCCGAAACCTCTGAGTTTGTACTCCGGGTGACCGCAAAAGATCTTGAAGGATCAGACTCTGGCCAGGTTACAAAGGTCTCCCTCAGTGCATTGTCTGAGTCGTTCAAATATTGGAGAACTATGTCATGAAAGAACAGCTCATTACCATCGCTTTTCTTTGAGTGATACTGCAGAATTGTCGTCTCGATATTGAAGCGTGCGGCAATGTGAAGCCTACCACCATGTCGCTCGATGGTAATACATGGATCCAAGATTGACACTGATGTGTACGGTGCTATTCCTTTCTGATCTTTCTGGCTCACAGGACCCCTGAAGAACTGATCATTTAGATCAACAATTATGGCAGGTTGTTCGTGAAGATAAAAGTCAGGGGGCGGAGGTAATCCTCTCGGCGGGAGAGGAGGTAGTGGTGGCACATCAGGGAAGTTGGGGTAACTCTACATGAGTTTGTCAACTAAGAGATGTATTGAAGATATGCAATCTCATCTAAGCTCCCGAGCTCACCGATTTATTCCCAAATCCGACCTGATCTTCTGCAAGATTTGTCGTCGCACCAGGGTCTGAACGATTCTTTTACAGAGGTCAGATTCATTATCACATGTTTTCTTGGATCTGATTAGCTGTCGTAAAACCTACAGGCATCTCATACAGTTGGGGCCTCCAGCCCCGAGGCGGCAGTCGGGGAAACCGCGGTCCAAGCGGTAGCATCGTGGTAATGTAAGTGATGGGAATACCATGCAAAGATTGGTTTGTATTTTAATATCTCAAGGACCATTTCCTCAGAATTGGAATGTTCAAGATGAAATGGCCGCATAGAAAATGCTTATTGAGTGATGCTGGCTCAGCTGAAGACCGCTTGCAGCAAGGCCTGGATGAGTGGCTGGACCAATCATCGTTCCACACGTCAGGACCGCCGTCTCGTAATCGAGACTTGCAGTTGATGCATCTCGGTCGTTCGAAATATTTTCGAGTTCGTGATGACACTATAAACGACAGCAGTGCAATCACGCTTGGTTTCAAGTGATAGACCAAATCCCATTCTCGTTCAGAATCACAATTGCAGGCAGGATTAGAAAGAGTTTCTAAAGTGAAATTCGGCTTGCAAAGGAAGGTAGCGGTTGAAACTTCCATTTCTGCATTGAGTCATCGGAAATTGAGACCAAGCCATGAATTAAATACGCTACTCAAGAGTTTGCGCCTATCATATCTCTCTGGACTTAGCATAAAATGCGAACTACGAAAGCTTGAGGCGGTTGTAGTTTATTTGCGGACTGTATAAATCATGATCTCTCTACGCTTGTCGCCGCGTGTTCACCAGCCCTCCTCCCCGAAAAGACACAGTCTGCCAAAGACAATCCACTAACGTAGCTGTTGGAGCAGAGGCCGACGGCATTGCGACCTGCTGCATACAACCCTGGTATTAAACCACCCCCATTATTTTGTAACAAACCGGTGTTTCCATCGACACGTAAGCCGCCAAGGGTGAAGGCAGGAACCAGCCTAACGCCTGTCACCTTGACAGAAAAGTCGACAGAGTAGAAAGGTGCTTGAACTATTGGAGACCGATAATCATTGCTCTTCTTTACCGGGTCTTCTTGACCGGATGCGATGGCATCGTTGTATGCCGCGATGGTTCTGGCTAGGTCATTAGATGGAATTCCAGTCTTCTTGGCTAAAGCATTCAAGGATGTTGCTTTCTTGTGAGCCCAGTAAAGAATGTAGTCTGTCAACGGTTTCATGACGCCTGCCTGTTCTTTCACCTGAGACTTGATCTTCTTCCATTGCGTCGCATCGAGAATCATGTAGCCGGTACCACCAAAGCGCCGAATCAATATTTCACTGAATGTTGCTCCGTAAAGGTCTTCAGCTGCAATACGTTCGCCCTGCTGAGATACCATAATGCCTTCCAGGAATGCTACCGGGGGATAGAGCATCCGCCTATAATTTGCAGTTAGTGATGCCCTTACAAAGACAGTGGAAGAGTAGGACAGAAGCTGTAACAGAGAGATTTCAGGGTAACCATCTAGATCCGAGCTGGATCTTTGTCCCCAGTACTCGAAGCGTGACCGCCGTAGATGAAAATGAACTCGAGAAGTTGCCTACCATGCCGACCATCTATCCATGTGTGACGTGCATCCCCCGGCTTCTGTGCCAAGTTCAATACCGGTACCATCGTCTCCAATCGTGCCAAGGGGTGAAAGTTTTGAGAACTCGGGCATATGCTCCTTCGTCAAGCTTTCGTTCATAGAGTAACCGCCTGCGGCGAGGATCACTGCCTTTGCATGGACGGTCTGGACCACGGCCCCCTTTTCAAAGACTGCGTTTGCTCGACGATAGAACCAGCGAGCCACGGGGACCATGCCCATCTGGAACTTCTGCCCGCGTGTAAGTAGGCGCTTATACTTCGCAGCTGCGGAACTCGTTGAAACGAGCTGAAGATACTGAACGCCCTGCGCTGCACCTTTCTCGTCCAGCAAGATCTTATCCACTTTGCTTGCGGGCTGGAACTCAATGCCCAGCCTGATGGCCGAGTCGAAAATTGCCTTCCATAGGACATTGCCTGAGAAGCCCCGACCTATCTGACGATGTCCCCTTGGAGCCGGCTTTGCGATCTGTGCAAACGGATATGCCTTCTCGTTCCCCGAATAATAAAGGTAATATGCGTCGGTTGGATAGCTCGTCTTGTGTGGGCACAAGGACGACTCGAAACGCGCACCGTGTTTCTCCATCCACTCCAGGCATTCAACGCTCTTCTCACAGAAGCGCTTCAGCGTGTCTTCGTCGACGGCGTCGCCAACCTCCTGACGCACGTACGCGAGGAAGTTCTCCGGCGTGTCTTCATACCCGGCCTCTTGCTGGTACTTGGTGCCGCCGCCGATGTAGACAACACCGCCGGATATGGCACTGGCTCCGCCGCCAAATGCGCGGTCGAGTATGAGAACACGGGCGCCTTTCTCGGCAGCTGCAATCGCGGCGCATACGCCCGCGAGGCCGCCGCCGACAACGATGATGTCCGGGTCTGGAGGTTGAGATGTCGACTGCGGCTCGCGCTTCAAGGATGTGGGCGTAGTACGGAAGGCGATAAGGCGAACTGTGCCAAAATCATTTTTTTCTCAGATTTTCATTAGATGTACCCCACCGTAGAGCCTTAATATACCCT